AGGAAGGAAGGAAGGAAGGAAGGAAGGAAGGAAGGAAGGAAGGAAGGAAGGAAGGAAGGAAGGAGCAAAAGGTGAGAAGAAAGACACAGGTAGGGAAGGAAGGAAGAAGGAGGGAAAGAAAAAGAGGGAAGGAAGGAGAGAAAGAGGAGATTGCCAACAGGACTCAAAGCTTTTGCCCCTCAATGGCAATTTGGAGTGCTCTACCATGCAGTCCTGCCAATGGCCACATGACCTTGGAGGTGTCTACGGACAACGCTGGCTCTTCGGCTTAGAAATGGAGATGAGCACCAGAGTCCCAGAGTCAGACATGACTGGACTTAATGTCAGGGGACTACCTTTACCTTTACCTACCCTTCCTAACACTATGGCTAGACCCTCTGAAAAGAGAGATTCCTAGACTTGCTTTGCAGGAAAAGAAAGCTGTCCAGGGCCTGCTCTCTGTCGCCATCCAGTGGCCACTCCTGAGCATTGCAATGTCAGCCTCAATAATAATAATAATAATAATATAATAAATAATGTAATAATAATATAATAATGAGGTTCTTGTGGGTTTTTTCGGGCTGTATGGCCATGGTCTAGAGGCATTCTTTCCTGACGTTTCGCCTGCATCTATGGCAAGCATCCTCAGAGGTAGTGAGGTCTGTTGGAACTAGGAGAAATTGGGTTTATATATCTGTGGAATGACCAGGATGGGACAAAGGACTCTTGTCTGCTGCAGCTAGGTGTGAATGTTTCAACTGACCACCTTCATTAGCATTTGAAGGCTTGCCTGAGCCTGGGAAAATCTTTTGTTGAGAGGTGTTAAGATGTGCCTGGTTTTGCTGTTTTGCTGTTGTAATTTTAGAGTTTTTTTAATACTGGGAGCCAGATTTTGTTCATTTTCATGCCCCACCCCAGCCATTCCACAGGTATATAAACCCATTGTCCTACTTCCAACAGACCTCACTGCCTCTGAGGATGCTTGCCATAGATGCAGGCGAAACGTCAGGAGAGAATGCCTCTAGACCATGGCCATACAGCCCGAAAAAACCCACAAGAACCTAGTGATTCCAGCCATGAAAGCCTTCGACAATACAATATAATAATGCATTTAAATATTCGCACTTTTGTTTCCATTCCTTACATATAACTTATATATACATACACACACACAATATTATATATAAAAATAAATATGAAATAAAAGAGTAGAAAAAATAAAAAATGAAATAAATATAAAATACAAATTAGAAAAATAATAAGAAAGTAAAAGAACGGTCATACTCACAACACAGAGCCCTAGGTTTGGAAGAGACACACATAATAGTAATGACATTGTCAAAGGCTTTCATTTTCCGGGCTGTATGGCCATGTTCCAGAAGCATTCTCTCCCGACATTTCACCCACATCTATGGAAGGCATCCTCACAGGTGAGCCCCCGGTGGCGCAGTGGGTTAAACCCTTGTGGCTGCAGGACCGAAGACCAACAGGTAGGAGGTTCGAATCCAGGGAGAGCACGGATGAGCTCCCTCTGTCAGCTCCAGCTCCTCATGCAAAGGGGGCATGAGAGAAGCCTCCCACAAGGATGATAAAAAACATCAAAACTTCCGGGCAATGTCCCCTGGGCAACGTTCTTGCAGATGGCCAATTCTCTCACACCAGAAGCGACTTGCAGTTTCTCAAGTCGCTCCTGACACGACAAAAAAAGAAAAATCCCCAGAGGTTGTGAGTTTTGTTGGAAAACTAGGAAAATGGGGTTTGTAGATGTGTGGAATGACATCCAGGGTGGGAGAAAGAACTCTTGTCTGATGGAGGCAAGTGTGAATGTTGCCATTGGCCAGCTTGATTAGCACTGAATGGCCTTACAGCTTCAAAGCCTGGCTGTTTTCCTGCCTAGGGGGAATCCCTTGTTGAGAGGGGTTAGCTGTCCCTGATTGTTTCCTGTCTGGAATTCCCCCCCCCCCCCCCCCAGAAAACCCACAACCCAGGTCCTGAACCGGTGCTTGGCCGCTGGGGCGGTCTGGATGAGGGCAAACAAATTGAAACTGAATCCAGACAAGACAGAGGTCCTCCTGGTCAGTCGCAAGGCCGAACAGGGCATAGGGTTACAGCCTGTGTTGGGTGGAAGGGGTCACACTCCCCCTGAAGACGCAGGTTCGCAGCTTGGGTGTGACCCTGGACTCATCGCTGAGCCTGGAAGCCCAGGTTTCGGCGGTGACCAGGGGAGCATTTGCACAGCTAAAGCTTGTGCGCCAGCTGCGCCCGTACCTTGGGAAGTCTGACTTGGCCACGGTAGTCCACGCTCTGGTTACATCCCGTATAGACTACTGCAACGCTCTCTACGTGGGGTTGCCTTTGAAGACGGCTCGGAAGCTCCAACTAGTCCAACGCTCGGCAGCCATGATTTTAACAGGAGCGGAGCGCAGGGAGCATACAACCCCCCTGTTGCGCCAACTCCACTGGCTGCCGATCTGCTACCGGGCTGAATCCAAAGTGCTGGCATTGTTGGCCTTTAAAGCCCTAAACGGTTCTGGCCCAAGCTACCTATCCGACCGCATCTCTGCCTATGAACCCACCAGGACTTTGAGATCTTCCGGGGAGGCCCTGCTCTCGATCCCGCCTGCTTCTCAAGCTCGGCTGGCGGGGACGAGAGAGAGGGCCTTCTCGGTGGTGGCTCCTCGGCTGTGGAACGCCCTTCCCACGGACATTAGACTAGCCCCATCTCTAATGGTATTCCGCAAAAAGGTGAAGACCTGGATGTTTGTGCAGGCGTTTGAGTAATTTAGTGCAACCTGGTAATGGAAGATAGGAATGGAACAATGGATGACGAATCTGGATCATGTTTTTGATGACGAGACGACAGTGAATGGGTATTGTAGTGACTGTTTATTAATTGTGTAATGTGTTAGGTTGTGAACTGTTTCTATACTGTAGCACTGGATTTTTGCTGTTCGTATTTGTTGTGAACCGCTGTGAGTCGCCTTCGGGCTGAGAACAGCCGTATAGAAGTCAGGTAAATAAATAAGGTAAATAAATAAAAGCCTCTGACAATACTCAGGGCGCAATGTTCAGGCGTGGCCACTGGAGGGAGGCAGAGCGCATGCCTTAGAGGCGGGGCCAGAAGGAGAGGGCGGGGCTTACTGCTCTGATGGGCGGGGCTTCACAGGAGTAGCCTTCTGGGAACTGTAGTCTAAAGCGCACCTGGAGACAAGGAACTGGAAGTAATGCTGGGAAGGGGACCGAGGAGGCCATCCGGCCTGACCCCAGGAATGGAAAGGGATTAAAAAAATACAGGGGAATTCCAGACAGGAAACAATCAGGGACAGCTAACCCCTCTCAACAAAGGATTCCCCCAGGCAGGAAGCAGCCAGGCTTTGAAGCTATAAGGCTATAAAGCTGTATTACTAAATAATATTAATATTTACTATTGAATAATAACATCAATATGGCCTTTATTATCATTAAAAATGATTGTGAGGATTTTAATAATAATAATATAAAGACAAAGAAGATAATTAAATAATGTTAACGCTGAAAATAGTGAAATCGGAACTTTAAGTATTAAATATAAACTTATTTTTATATTAAATATAAATAAAATAAAATATTAAATATAAACTTATATTTATATTAAATA